TGACATTAAAATTGGTCAGAAGTGAACAAACAGATTAGTTTTTGCGTCATAAGAGAGTTGTGGTCCTAAGCTATGCAGAGATGATCGTCTCGTGTCGCTAGCTCATCCCATCAGGAAAATATTGACTTTGAAAGTTGGGTAATACTTTGCGCCAGATTTTTGGTCCATCCGCTCATTAGCAAAAATGACAGCTTTAATGGGACCAAAATGCCTTTATTTTATATTTAGTGTAGTCATAATTTGGATTTCAACACTACAGCTACACTTTTGGCATAGTTTTGATCAGATCAGCACGAACTTCCTGAGGGGCCATTCGGCTTCTACTCGTTGCCAAAGTTCGTGGATACTTTTGGGGTCATTTTCGTACGATCCAAGGTGTCATTTCAGGAGTGACCATAGGTGTTCGATATGTTAAAGGTCAGTATACTGCGCAGTCCAGCACCTTCACCATGTAACCTTCGAACCATTGGCGCACCCTTCCGAGACGTGTGGTTTGGGTCATTGTCTCGCTGGAAGATGAAGCCATTGTGTCCTATCTCGTAATAATTGACCGTAACGAAAACGTAATCCTCTACGATACTTGTGTACCGTACCGTGTACCGACGTCCATGCCTCAACCGATGCGACACATCCATTCGACGCTTTTGATAGTTATTCAGTCACAAATCATCAGGTTTCCACAGCCGAACTTGACTCTACCTCCAGCATGCATAGGTTCTCTGGAGTCCAAACATATAAACCAGCGCATGGAATTTGCTCGCAAGTACCAGAATTGGACGATACACAATCGGTCCCGCGTGAGTTTCTTTGACGAAACCAAGGTTAATCGTCTGTGGTCTGACGGCCGCATTTGGAAGCGGAAATCGTCTGGTACAAGCACTCAACCTCAGCAGTCAAGTTCGGCTGTAGAAATCTGATGATTTGGGACTGTATGACGGCCACAGACGTCGACTGGATGTGTCGCATCGATGGAGGCATGGACGTCAAATTGTACACCAGTACAGTACCAAAATTATTTTCAAAAATGTTTTTGCATTAGCTATTACATGTTTTCCAAATTCTGAAAGTGTTATTTGTGATGAAACATGAGTAACAGTTTCTTTATTTACTGTCATATTCGGTTAGTTCTGAAAAATACACTTTTTTGGATTGAAACCAAGAGGCAATTATGTCTGCCTCCTATCAAACTCATTATCTGCTTGTCCCAGGAACACGTTTCACCTTGTCATCGCGTTTCTTGCTTTGGGAATGTTTTGAAAGGAGAACATGGGCAGAATGAAATAAACTTAATAAAAAATGTTGGATTCACAAAGTTTGAAGCTCATTCCAACCTTTTTGTTGTCAGTTGAAGCCTTTTTGTTGTTATATACATGGAACACGTATTTATTGAGGTTTGTTTTCCTGGGTTTTGGAGGAGAGCTTATCTAGGGACACCGTATTTAATTGTTTTCTTCAGTTCTGAGTCCCAGGTGGGCATTCATGTTCCCCTAAGATATGAAAAGGAAAGCACCTATAAGTAGAAATTGCTTGATGTCAATGAGTGCCGAAGTTAGAACGAAAAGCATTAATAGCTTGCAATTGCGATTCAATTTCCTTATTTATTTTAAGAGGCAGAATGAAGGGATCGGCAATTGTAATTTGTGTGGAATTCATGACTTTTAAGAGTTCTTTAATTGGAGTACCATTTCCACTTTAATAAGTGCTTGATACTTATTGAGTTTCAAGTAGATTTTTGGAAGTAGTAACCTGGGGTTATGTGGAATTATAACGTTTATAGCTATTCCCAGTTATGAATTTTTTTTGCCAAAACCAGTTGAACTTCCTCGTAAGACCTCACTCACTGGGGAAGAGGAGGACTGCCTTCAGGTCCATATTCATGCCAAGTGTGCTGTCGATTTTTACAATTTTAAATGTTGGAACATGTGTTCATAGAATAGGAAAATCAAATATTCGGCGAGATCCATAGTGGTGGCCTGATGATGGAATTCTCATGGAGATCTCGGAGAGATGGGAATCTTATGAAGTTTAAGGAATTATCATGCTCATAAACTGGCCATGAGAATACCTTAAACCTACGTAGCAGAACGTAACTGTAGTTATTTCTTTTCAACGAAGTCTCCATTGAGTTCAATGGAGGAGTTCCACCGCTTCACCCACTTCCTGCAGACCCCAGCGAAACCATTATTTGTCCTGCACTGAGAACCACTGGAAGATTGACGATCAGAGCGCACTTCTGCTCTCGAATCTCCATCCGCGTAAGTGATCCTTTAGGGTGGGGAACAGTGCGAAGTCAGCAAGATGCCAAGTCAGGGCTGTCCGGCGGATAAGCCATGAGTGTGGATTTGTTCTCGCGTATGCCTCGAAAAGAATCAGTGCCCAATGAACTGGAGCATTGTCGTGATGGAAGATGGCGCCATCACACAACTTGTCCCTTCGTTTCTCAGCAATCGCTTGGCGAATCAAGGGCAGCGGGGAAGTGTAATAGGCGCCGGTCATTGTCGTACCTTGTGGCATGGGATGAACTAGAATCACGCCCTTGTTATCGAAGAAAATTGCGCATATCACCTTGGAAGCCGACTTCAGCGTTCTAATATTTCGGAGGGCGGACAAGTCTTTTGCTTCCACTGAAGAGGTTGACGCTTTGTCTCGGGCTCGTAAAAATGGAACCAAGACTCATCCATGGTGATCATCATATTCAGGAAGCCGTCAATTATATGGGATGCAATTCGTCTTTAGGGAATCCCTAATCGTATGCAAGCAATTGTACAGCGAGTTCCGTTTCGTAACCTTAAATTCAGACCCGTCGTTCTAATTTACCGACGCCTGGTTAGAAAAGGGGAAGAATTTGAGCTTGGGCGGGATGCGGATGGGCTCGATAGGAACGATCTCACCTGTGCATCGGTCGTGAAGGTCGGTTGGCAATCAAGTTTTCGGTCTTGTGCGAGCGAATGCGTCATGTGAGACATCGAGTTTACGAAGCTCAAAGGACAAAGCGGCCTTTGGACTGGGCCGATTGGCAATCGAATTTCAGGTCGAGTGTGGGTCATGATGTGGGACGGCCAGATCAGTCCAACACGATCCGCGATTCAGATCAGCAAAGCTTCGTCGGGAGATTGAGTTCCGGGTAAAGTGTGACACACCATTGAAATCGGGTTCATCGAATTTAAACCCGAATAAGTCAACCCGTGCAACTGACTGACTGACAGCACTGAGTAACAGTAAGCTGCATGGGACCTACGTTGCCTACATTGGCAGCGGTCTTTTTGGGTTCTAGACTCAATAAGTTTCACCTACAGACCATACACTTTCAATTGGCACCTCACTCGTGAAAACCTGTTCATCCGCCTAGCAGATTCACGGAATGACTCACACATTCACACACGCATACAGATTAGCCTCTAATGTATGTGAATGAGAATCGAACTATCACAGTGCCAAAGCGTAATAATTCCTTAGGTGACATGCAGTGGTTCATCATTTAAATACCAACTAATATCATCAATTTGTATGAATTACCAACACTTTTCCACTCATAGAATAATTGAATCTTGTGAGGTTGAGGCGAGTGAGGTGCATGACAGGTGTCCTATCAAACCATTTGCATAATCTCGATGTAACTTGAAAATATGGGCATCGTCAGAAGTCCTTAGTGTTTTGAGGACTAACCTAGTCAGGATTGAGGGGAAAAATTAAAATCAACCCATGAAATACGTTTTGTGATAAAAACAGAAAATTCGAAGAAAATCTAAATTTCCTCTCTATGAGGAAGAGGGTTAAATTATGAACTACTATCTTTGCTAGACTAACTCCTACACACTTTTCAGTAATGTGGGAGGAATGAAGGACTCTCATAACAATTTTGAGGAAAAGTGGTATTTTGCGAAGAAAATACATCATTTAGCATTTTCCATAATTATTTAGAGAACATTGTGCTCCTCCAGGAAAGCAATGAACTTTTCTTTAGAAGAATGCCCGTGTATTTTAAAAGCTGCATTTCCAGCATGTAAACAAAGATAGTAGGCCATTTACTGATCAAATGAAGCAGATTTACTGATCAATTGAATGAATCAAATGAACCCCTCCCAACGTGAATATTACGTAGATTCAGGAGCTTGACTTTTTCGGTGTTGCAATCTCGAACGTTGAATATTAAAGGAGATCTGGCCAGGAATGGTCGGGTAGAGACCTGGACAGCAACACAGGTACCGTCCTTTTCCTATCTCAAAGGAATTGAAGGATCCTCAAGAGACGAAAGTCCTTGCCCGCGTATTCCCTTCCTGTGAATGATTGAGGATTCATCGTAAACAGTGAGTGAATGTAAATATTAAACCTATAAATTTTCCTCGACTCAGGAACACTATCCCGGTAAAGTTTAGCCAGATTCCCCACGCAACTCATCCTAACGATTGAATAATATTGAATTGAGTAGGTTCCATTACGTTCTTTTTTTTGCTTCTTTTGTGTATCGTTTTATGTGGCCCCATAAAAGAAAGTTCCGGTCGCTCTTAGCAAAAAACATGCTGGTAATAGTGATTGGTTCTCCTTATTTCACATTTTTACAACACCAATGGATTCCCTCATTCTCCGATTTCTTCCTCTTTTTGTCCATTTTTACTTTTCTAGAAAAGTTTAAAACCAGAAGGTTGGTATCACTCACTTTTGGTTAAAGGAAATATTCGCCTTTATTTCGGGAGAATTGATATTAACACACGTTGTCCATATCATATGTGATGTAGATACGAAAAGTAAAGTTTCACCATGGAAATCATCAAGCAATTATTAAAAAAGCTATTGAGGAATTAAAGGCGTTATCTTTAATATGTTCCACTATTGTTCCACTCAACTTCAATATGTTCCTATTTCCACTCTGGAAAAAGGGCGTATGTGTCCATACGGATGCATGGGCACATACGCCCTTTTTCCAGAGAACTCCTCAATTACAGGCGCTTACTGAATCTCTGATTGACGTTGATGACATTTCATTTCCTTATTTGGGCTTATCACCGGACATCATTCCAGCCAACAAATGAGCAAACAGTTGTGACAGCTCCGTATCCATCCCTGGTGGGGCCATCGCTCTGCCTGCGGCGCTAGAATCAGCATAAGTGGTACTTTGAGCAACTGGCACCTTTCTACTTGTAATAAGGTCTTGAAGGGAGGGTTTCGTCCACATATTGCAGAACTTGCTGCATTTGTGAAACCTGAAAAAATTCAATATTCCTGGCTTTCCTACGTCGGTGGGTCCCCAATTCTGCTTCAAAGAATTGATGGCTGGGTCAGTGAAGTAATATGCATCATGCTCGTTGCCTTTAATTTGGCGCACCCCTTGTAAATCACAGACTATTAGCTCTTGCGTCTTGTGCCATGTGAAATGGGTGAAGACTCCTGGAGCAGTGTATCCATCAAGAATGAATCCGGAATTGGAGCTGAATTTCTCATATTCCCCATGAATGAACGGCTCGAGGGCAACTTTTTCTCCCTGGAAGAGGAAAAGTATCATTCTACATGAAATAACGAAACTAAGACATGTTACTCTTCCACTTTGCTGCGATTTCCGTTACTTTTACGTACTATGGAGGAAGCATGATGGCTGAATTTCTTGAAGCCTTGGTCGCTCCCTTATCAATATTGGCTGGGGTGACATGGGGGGGGGGGGGGGGTCTCAAAAGTTGAAACTTAGTTTTAGAGGTCCACCTATATCAAATATGATTTTGCGAATATCCCGAAAATATAATTGATTTAATTCAATCCCAGCAATACAGATTAAACAAATGACTAGAAACTTAACACATTGGATCTTCCAAAATCGGTCCCAAGAGGACATGCAGTAGTTCCTCTATGTTTGGGGAAATATGGCCAGCAATGAAGGGAAACATGAGAAACTCCTAATAATAATAAAGTAAAATCCAATAATTTTTTTAGGTGCATCAGAAATTACTTGAACACGACATCTGGAAATCCGCGTACCTGCACATGAGAGTGGTGAAAATCCGACCAACATGAAATGAAGACTGAAAGTATCTCTGGTCATTGCAAATGTCTTCCGTGACAGTGCATCCACGTTCGAAACCATGGGGAAAACATTATTTTATTTGTGCAAATCATGAGGACATGCGATGGACATATGTGATGAGTTTAATGATAGGTGTGCGGGTAAACCACAGCTGCGGGAAAAACCCACACGCAAAAAAAATTGATGCATTCAAAGAGAGTATTTAGATTTAGAGCACGATGGCATTTTCTGGCAACAATATTGCCAAGAAATATCCTGGAAAGCATCCAGATATCCAAAAGACATACGGTATAATAAGAACATCCGCTGCGCATTTTTTGTGTATGTCTAGTGAGTCCCCGTGCGTTCGCAGATGATATCCAGCAGATGCGCATTGGATGATCCCTTGCTGCCTGGGTTAGCACTGAAAATGAATGTCACTCTGCCGATTGGTTTGTACAGTAATACCATGAAATCAAAGTAGTGTCCATATCAGCCTTAATCGTGGAGGTAACATTCCTCCATGTTGACTTACATTGCATCACTGCCTTAAAGCGGCGAGCGAAAGGGTTTGTAATTTCCAGGTGCAATCTAGAGGGACCGTATAATAACTTTGAAGAATTGGTTTATGTTTTCATTCTTTGCTACTTGGAAATTTGCGCTAAAAGTGTTCATGGTTCGCATTAGTTTCAAGGTCATAACTATGGAAATGCAAGGAGTTTCATGAAGAATGTACGTCCAATACGTGGTCTCCCAACAACGCCGAAGCGTGTATTTGTTAATCATTTGTGCCACTCAGACATATTATTATTTAGACGTAGAACTTCTTCCATACTGCCTAGCCATTTGCCGATAAGTGCCACTAGGCTTTACGACTTCGGACCCCAGAAATCTGACCACACGAAGTTGCTCTGTGATTTTGAAACTCTCGAAGGGCGGTGCCGTGTTGGACTGAAAGCAACCAGCGCTATATGCGGCCAAAATAAAATAACCAATAATGAACGGCGTTGGCGTGCTCGGAAAAAAATTACGATAAGCGTAGCTTGGTGTGAATAGGAATCAAGGGTGGTATTTTAGAAAAATCCACTTTACTTTTTGCCTTACCCTCGGACATTTAAATGCATCAAACCCCGTCAGTCAATCAGATGAGAATCTCATAAATTTCATCGACTCACCTTCACAAAGACAGGCTTTCCATCTTTCTCGACTGTGGTACTCATTGTATGAAGAATTGGTCGCTTGAAAATGATGGGATGGTTCAGCTGCATTTCCTTGTTGAACTCAAGAGCAAGTTCGTAAGCTTTCAAGTGAATCTTCACAACAATATCCATTTCCATTCCTGCGTTGAAGAACTTGGGTTTAAACGCCTTCAATACGTAAGGTTGCTTTTTGCCTGAAAGAGAAACAACTCATATTGAACAAACATGCAGAAAAGAGGCATTGACAAGAATTATCATTCACGAACATTGTAACAATAGTAAAATGTGGAATTAATGTTGAATACCAAAGTGAATTGTTTCACAAATGAGTGGAATTACTAAAGTGCCACTGTGCAAATGCTAAGCGTATGGGATAATTCGGAAAGGGAATATAGGAGTCTCACATTCAACTTACCATCCTCCATAGTTGCTTCCACTTTGAAGGCATCACGGGTGGCTCCTGATGCAAATGGAGTTGCATTAACACTGATCGATTTCACTGATCCACTGCCATTCAAGGTTGCATCCTTTGCCGTAATTTTACGTAAGACGCACCGATAGCAAGCGTCATAGGTGACTTTGCATGTCGGGCAGTATACTCGGTCTCCCACAGAGTTTTCGCCACATTCACTGCATTTATAACTGACATAGGCCAAGGTGTGCGGATGCTTGGGTTTGTAATCAACTTTCTTGATGCAGGGGGTGCAATGATCGAAGTCACATTTGCTACAGCAACGCCATCTTGCCTCATTGGAGGAGAAGCTCTTCTTGCAGCTATCGCATGTCCAGCTAGAGGTAAAAGGTTCGAAGTCGATGGATATCACTGTATGCCCCTCCGAGCAAGACATTCTGTTCCCCATCCTTGAGAAATCCCGAAAAACTGACAGGTCACTCCACGTCGACGGCTTTGAAATCCAAGGTTGATACAGTCTTCGTTCAGGTTGACTCAACTGCTACATACAGTGGGAAAGGCCCGTTGTTCCAACGAAATATTGATAAAACGAATGAAGATAAAACACGAAGAGCCACTGATGATAAGCCCATTGATAAGCTGAGAGGTAAATGCATCCTACAAGGGAATCGCACACATGCTGATGCACGCCAGTACAAAGACAATGATTCACCCGCAATTCCAGAGTGTCCACCTCAGACGAATAAATGATGAAGGCATGCAAGCAACAGATTCTTTCTGACTAAAATATCATCGTATTCGCTCTGTCCGCTGTCGCATACATTTTTCCCCACGATACCTGGAAAGAGGAACACATGGGTTGATTGAGATGGGACTGGTCATAGACCTATAATATGATAATATGTATATTCAGCACCTGTCAAAAAAGGTCCATCGAAAATCTTCGGAAAAAATATTCAAGGAACCTCGGCCTAGTAGGCCTACAAAGGAATGGTATTGTAGTACTGGGTTGAGGAAAGGAAAGCCGAACAAGAAATGGATAGGAGGGTTGATGCCATCCGGAGAGTAGGTACAAAGTCAAAATGTAAAACGAGTTTTTGCGAACGGCGAGATTTCTGATAAGGGTGAGAATGATGTAGACCCTGCGCTCTGATATTGTCGAAAGATTGATTTGGAAGGCAGAAATGAGATGGAACTGGCTTTGAAGATTTGATACGGATGCCACAAAGAAGCTCCACAAAACGATCCTCCAAGCTATGTCTAGTTTCACCTGCTTAAAATTTGAAGTGCACATGGTACAGGATATGATATAGATTACATCTTTGGTGCGGCATATGAAATGTTTCAAGATTTTGAAGTGGCCCTTGGGACCTTTTTCAGTCACGAAGTACATCCCGCAGGAAGTGGGTGTGGTCTAGACAATACATATGCACTGGTGCTTGGAAAGTTGATGAAAAATAATTTCACCGTTTCAGGTAGAGAGAGCAATCCAATGATTCATGAATAATTCCAACTCATTATATGCGGCTTCATTGATTTTTCTCTATGCATGCATGAACACTTGGGTGTTGCATATTAATACATGTATCATACATCATATTTACGTGTGTTTATGCTGGATTCTACGTCCTGCGTATAACAGAGTTTCACCATGTGCTTATCAGCTGCGCTTTTCCACTATTTTATCTTGAAAACATTTTTCTCAGTCCCTCACGGAGACGGAGTGCAGGTCACACAGAGCTCAGTGATAGTGTCCGTTTCATTCAAGGCTGTATGGCCATTCTTTGCATTGTGCATTGGGCTACAGGTCGTCAAACATGGGGAATATGATGTCATGTCCAGAGGGGCATCCATTGATGTCCATCGATTTCAAGGAAACCTCCTTTAACTGGATATGCGATCGCTGCAAGAAGAGCTTCTCATCCAATGAGGGAAGATGGCGTTGCTGCAGCAAGTGTGACTTCGATCACTGCACTCCATGCATAAATTGTGAAATTGACTACAACCCTGATCATCCGCATACATTGGCCTATGTCAACTACAAGTGCAAAGAATGTGGAGAGAGCTCTGAGGGGGACCGGATGTACTGTCCAACATGCAAACTCACATATGACGCTTGCTATCCCTGCGCCCTGCTTAAAATTATGTCTAAGGATGCATCAAGCACCACCGCAGTAAAGTCAATTCAAGTCGAGTCAACTCCATTTGCGTCGGGCACCACCCGTGATGTGTTCAAAGTGGCTGCGACAATGAATGATGGTGAGTTTTTTTCTTGATGCTGCCATTTGTCAACGTACGAAGTTGTTGAAAACGTTGACCATATCTATCAAAATCCTCTGCCAACTCAATAAGTTTTTACATTACATCGGAAGGCCAAAAAGAATGGGTCCGGCTTTGCATATCTATAGATAGAATAATGAAAATTAATTGACTGGACGATTGGATGGCGTCACAAGAGTAGGTAGCTTCATGATATTTTTAATTTGATGCTTGGAACTTTGATCATTCAGAATCCAAGTTCATCTACGAAATGTCCAATATCCGTGTGTGCCAGTGCTCAAAGTGCTGTGTCCTCCATGTATGATGAATTGTCCGACCGAAGTTCAGTTGAACAAGGAGATGCAAACCTACCCTCTCGCACTTGACCTCGTGTCAAAATGAATGTCACTCCGGCTCCAAGAAATTTACATTTTCCAAAAGCCGTATACTCATATTAAACGCCACTCAAGAGAACCAAATGAGTTTCTAACTTTACTTGACCGCAGACGGAACTCAATTTCAACTTCTGCAGGAAATTTATAAAGTTACGCCTCTAATATTCCGAAAATGTTCGTGAAAATGGCCGTTCCTATACTTCAAAACGTCCTTTTGCACAATACCGGGTACATTAGTACTTACCTGGTTCTGGCTGAAGAAAATGAACTGTGGTCCCATCGTGAATGAGGTTTCAAGGCACGCTTTACACTCCCATACCGTTGCTAATTTGGCAACGTTCGAAAAATTGAGTTAACCCGGTTAAATAGAGTGCAAATATTTCAAGGCTCTTTTTTGTTGCCAACGTGTGAAGTGCCAAGTGTCGCTTTTCAACAATGAACATGATGAAACTGTTCGGTCTCATGGAATTTCTTGTTTTATTTTTGAAGGATATTGTGTATGATCAAATTAAAGATGGTGATTTAATAATTCAAATGACACCAAAATTAAGCTTTTATCTTAATTGAAACAAAAGTTATTGCACAAACAGTTTCACAATTCCTGTAAGTATGGGTACAGGGAGCCAATAATTGGCGTCAGTCAAATGCATATATCAGGAGATTGGTGGGAGATATACAAAATTGGCTGAAATTGGTTTCTTTAAATCGATTCCGCTACATGTATGTACATTTTCGTCTACTTCAGTGCTGGTCTAACTTAAGGTCTGGTCAAAGAGGCGTGGAATGATCCAAGGATTTATTTCAATTTGTTTTTCATAACGATGGGACATTCTTTCAGGCTCAAAACAAGCTTACGTCTTGAAGGCGTTCAAGCCGAAGTATTTCAATGAAAAATGGGACATGGGTATTTTTGTGAAGATCCACTTGAAAGCTGGCGAACTTGCCGTGCAGTTCAACAAGGAAGTGCAGCTGAATCATCCTATTATTTTCAAGCAACCAATTCTCCATTCAATGAGCACTACATTCCAAAGGGATGGAAAACCTGTATTTGTGAAGGTGAGTCCACGCAGTTCCTCGCTGAGAATATCATGGATTTGACAGAATTCGATACGCAAAAGTGAAAATAAAACTTGAACAGGTAAAAAAATTTAAATAATGGATGTAGCGGTTGATTTCCATTTATGACATTTTACGTAAATGTCAAATATTCATTGGAGACTAGTGTAAAAAAACAACATAGCATTTTAAGAATTTGCATCACTTGAGGCTTGAAAAAAAAGGCTAAGACACAACTTGTGTAAGCGCGCCGAGTTGATGGTCTCATGAAATTACTTATTAGAGATCTGCTATACTGTATAAATCACCCCTCCATATTGTGCAAATAAATACACCATAACGTAATGTTAAGAAATTTTATACGAACTCGAAGAAAATGACGACAAAATCGTATTATATAGCAATATTGGCGAAAAAGGAAATCAAATCCTGCAAATCCTATAATTACACATGTAGCAGATATCGTTCGTTAAAGAATCACCTTCTCTTTTAGGGAGAAAAGGTGGCACTGGAACCTTTCATTCATGGTCACTACGAGAAATTCACTTCTAATTCTGGATACATCCTCGAAGGATATACTGCTCCAGAAGTTTTCAGTCATTATACATGGCACAAGACACGAGAGCTCATTGTCTGCGATTTGCAGGGAGTGCGTCAAATTAAGGGTGACAAGAATGATGCATACTACTTCAGTGACCCAGCTATCAACTCTTTGAAGCAGAGTTGGGGCCCAACCGACTTGGGAAAGGATGGGATTCTAAATTTCTTCAAGAAGCACAAGTGTACTAAGTTCTGCATTAAATGGGCCAAACCTTCTATTGATGATGCTCCCGGAATTGTGGAAGAAATTCAAAGAACCACATATGCAGCCTCTAGAGCTCCCGACAGAGCAAAGCCCCAACCTGGAATAGACGTAGAGCTTGCACAACTACTTGCCAATTTGTTGGCTGTAGCGTCTCCTGGTGTCAGAGGCCCCGTTGATGACCACACCACGATGTTACGCGTTGATGAAAAAACTGCTTATGCTGTTCCTAGACCTCAGGGGAAAGAGTAGATTAAGACCGGGAATGGACACTAAATTGCTTCATTGTTTGTCAACTTGCTCTTCAAAATGTTGCCTTATTGTGAAGTTTACATGGCGCCATGGAATCTGGTAACCAAGAATATTCGATCCAGAATGATTCTGTGATTGCAACGTGTCTTTCCTAATTGCATTTCATGCATCAATTAGCTTTATTTTCAAACGAGTAGCATATTACATCATATATACTACGTTGAACATAATACAGTATATGTGATAAATAACCACCATTGATTTTACTCTTTTAAATGAAGGCGAACTTCGTCACAGTACGTGATGCCGTATCATCGTTTTGAAAAGTTATTGGGAAATACTTGGCACAAAAAGTAAAGCATGGGGAAGATGGTTTGAAGAGCCAGGAATGTGAATACTCATCGAAGTCCATGGGATACTTCACGAGATGGGCTCCAAATAATGGTGAACAGTGCGATATGCATATTTTAATGAAGTTGTTTATGGTTTATCTTGCAAGAAACTAAATCTTAAGTCACGATAAGAGTAATCTTTTTATAACTAACGCACACTCTTTCGGACTCATAACCATGGATTTTTTCAAAGGAAAATATGTATCAGGGTCTAAAAGTTGAGGGACACGTGAAAACATTCCAGGTTTTCCAATAAATAACGTTAATGATTACCCTAATATACTTTGATTCCCGATATCGGAAAGAAACTGAAGAGTGCTATGCTTTGCATTTCACTTACTTAACTCGGAGAATAGTGACATCTTTGACTAAAAGTTCCACGTGCGATAACTTTAAGCAGAACGAGGCAGAATATATGCAAATAACTTACCACGGAATCTCCATAAATCAGTGGTATTGAAACTGGAGCCTAGTTCATGACTTTATGCGCGCCACTACGATGTCCAAATATTTGATATTTCAGTCAGTGTTCATATATTCAGGGAGTTTCATTAAGTATTTACATTCACATGTTTAGAGAAGGTTGTTTGGTTCTCATGGTGGCAATTTTCACACAGCACTACGCCCATCCAGGCGAAACATTGTATTTGCCTAAGAGGTTACAGCATGGATATACGTATTGTCGTTTCTAGCAAGTCAGTTATTTCAGGTTGACGAGTCAGAAAACCGCCAAAAATCGATCCCTTGTTAACAGGAAATGTTTGCACTTTCCGACGTTGGCAATACATCAGTGGTTCCTAAACTTTTTAAGGCGAGAGCCTCATGGACACTTTGGTCCACCTTGAGTGTGCCCTTCTAATTACGTTATTCTACAAGGAAGGGGCCGCATTGAAAAAGGTTATGCATGGCTAACCCATTATCTGGCAATCGACATATTTGTCAAGCCCAGGAAGTCCAATTTAAAAAATGAGCGGCAATCGAAAACTGCTTATTCCTGACGCATTTAAACTCAATTCCACCTCTCTCAGTCACGAAAACTGCCACTACTTGGAGTCTGGGCTCATGTAAGCACATCGGTTCTAGGCACTGCTTTGTTGCATGTTGCATTTTCGACAAATATTCTTTTTTCTCCTTAACTTCATTTAATTATCAGGAAAGTAATTTTTTCCTGCAAAATATGGTTTCTCCGAATTTTGCGGGAGCTAATGCAAGATGCACATCTGAATGAATTAGCATCGACATGTTAACATGCATAATAAGTGCCTGAACATCTAAACAATGACTAAACATTTTAGATTTCAGCGAAGGATTCAAAATCTGAAATATAAAAAATTGTTCACTGCGATTGTCCTTCAGTGCCGATAAAACGGTTAAATGCTAATTAGTCATTTATTAGCTACATTTAGTGGGCCCTACTTTGAATACCGCTATGTACAGGCTGGGCCAAGAAGAAAACAAAGCAGTCATTTTTGGTAAGTCGTCAATCTCTTTAGAGGCAGCCAATTTTGATTTAAATTAGGTGACTTATTGAGTGACACAATTGGAGATTATATACAAAATGTCAGCTTTCTGGCTCTAAAATTAAAATAGCAATAATTATTATATTGTATTATACCTAACGATAAAATACGCTGTCGAAAATATTGATACGAATTTGAGGCAGGGATGAAAGGAAACGCGCTCATTCGGGACTCTCAACACGGCTTTAGGGGGCGTCGAAATTGTCTCACCAATTGTCTCGAATTCTACGACTGGGCGACAGAAGAGAGGGATAAGGGGAATCCCGTGGACATCGTCTATTTAGTTATCGCGAAAGCTTTCGATACCGTTCCTCACAAGAGGTTGCGGGTTAAGCTGTAGGCGCACGGGATCCAAGGTAGGACGAACGAGTGGATCAGTAGCTGGTTGGCAGGACGAGAGCAACGTGTGATGATAAATGGGAAAGCGTCGAAGGAGGTCGGAGTCGCAAGCGGTATCCCTCAAGGTTCGGCCCTTGGATCGCTTCTGTTTTTCGTCTAAGAAACGATTTGGATCTCGGCGTAGAGGGTAAGATNTTCGTCTAAGAAACGATTTGGATCTCGGCGTAGAGTGTAAGATAAGTAAATTTGCCGACGACACCAAGATAGGCTTTACTATAAGGGGGGAGGCGGACAGGGCTAGAGCCGAGCAAGATTTAAGGCTTTTGGACGAGTGGAGCAAGAATTGGCTCATGAGGTTTAATAAAAGTAAGCGTGAAGTTCTCCACGTCGGTCGAAACAACGGTAGGTCACTCGACACTTTCGGCGATGTTAAATTGGATGAGGCAAACGGAGAGATTTAGGAGTTTCTATCGATGAGGACCTAACATTTTCCTCGCACGGGCAAGCGACGGTGGCCAAATGCAACAAGATTCTAGGTTACATTCGTCGGTCGGTTGCATGTAGGGCATCTCGCGTTATTCTTCCGTTGTATGCGGCGCTGATAAGACCCCAGTTGGAATATTGCATCCAGTTTTGGAGGCCCACAAATAAAGGTGAATTTGGGGCAATGTTGACGTTAGGTACTAGACAGTAAGCAACTAGAATAGTAAAAAATAAAAAATAAAAAACAAATCACAAATACAAAAATATATAGCTTAAAGAGGGTTAGGCCTACCCTAAAATTAAGGAACGCTCGACTTCGACGCGAGATATCGAAATGGGTGAAATCGCTTCTTGATATCACTATCTGGAATTTTGAAAGGGAGGTTCGAATTCATGAACATCAATCCCTGCATGATGCTACAAAGGAAGTTTGGGAGGCACTGCCTCAAAGGTTTATTGACCAAGCCATTGATCTGTGGTGTCGCAGGCTAGAGGCTAGTGTTCAACAGAATGGAGGGCACATTGAGCACCTTTTCAGCTAAAATGAACGTGCTTAAACCGAATTGTGGGCTTTCGTGTTTGGCATTTGAGCATTTGTTTTTGTTCTGTTTGTTTGCTTGTATGTTTGATCAGTTGTGAAAGATTTCAAGCTGAAACAAAGAACACTTAATTATTTGGTAACGAAATTTAAAATAAATGCCAATCTCAACAGTTTTTGTAATTTTTATTTGAAACCTGGCACACTAACCCAAATTGTGTCACCCTATGTGTCCACCAAATGTCATCAAAATTGGCAGCCTATAATCAGATTGACAAGTTACCAAAAATGATAGTTTTCTCTTGGTCCATTCTATATTTTCTTTCATTGTAAAGTAGTGAAAGAAGAAAGGATTCAGCTTATCGGTGGAAGGGGCCCACTATGTTCCCAACTAAATTGGATAAGCTCGAACTGGGGGTTTGCCAAAGCGACAAAAAGCAAAAGTAAGTTCCATAAACGCCATATTACTAATGAAAAATAGACATATATAGCGCTATTGGATGGCCCCTGGATTCACCTGAGCGTGTGCAACAAGATTAGGGCAATTCATTATGTTCTTTGCGGTGAATAACATTTTCAGAAGTGGTACTGTGAATGCAAAGAATTTTTTTTTCCAAGATTTAATGGTCGTTGCTTGCTATTTTCAAAATGTCAAAATGACCCTGAGAAAAGTGCAACAAAAAGTGAAAATGAACTCTCAATAGTATCAGGATCGTGTCTAAAACCTCTTTACGAGAAGGATATTCCCAGGCTGTAATAAAATACCACGACATTTTTTGAGGTGCAACAAGGCAAAGCTTCCTGGCATACCTTTGCTTCAACAAGACCTTTTCCCATGAAGAAAGAGGAGACGATCGAAATTCGTGCCAGTCCATTTTCAGACATCCCTGCCAATGCGTCAACCATGGATTTTTGTGGGTTTGGTCTATTCAAGAGACGCTTTGGAAGGAGGCACCGAAGGGGATAAATGAACTCCGAAACGCTTGCAAAGAAGAGTGAGAGAGGATACCTCTGGATTTAGGATGAGCCTCTTAGAATGGAAAATGAGATGTCGGGCTAATGTTAGGATGGAGGGGCATCAAAGCAAAATTCTAGGTGATTAAAAAAATGAAAGTCACCCCTTGAACATCTTGTTAATTTATAACCATAGTAACCAGAGAACCCTCTGTATGCATTTAAGTGTGGTCTGCTGAACTAACCTAATATTTGGAAAATTATTATGCTGCTAAGGCAAGAATATATACCTTACCAGCAAATAGTAAAATGTAGGAAAATATTTACTCATTGAAATGTGTGGATATGTGAGTAGCAAGTGCAGGCAGTTTTTGATTCCAACTCATTTTCGAATGAGGTTTCCTGTCTTGCAACGACTCAATCCTGTTGTAGAGCGGAGAACAGTAAAGATTAATGAAATCGTGCAAATTTGCTGATTTGTTCGATGCGGCCCACTGAAGGAGGCATCCGTCTCACTACAATGCATCCGTCTGCCCCTCACGTGAAAGGTTTCCGGACCATTGCCTTAAATAGAACTTCAAAGAGTAAAAAACTAAATTTGGATGAGAATTTGCACAAAAAGGGGCATTTTAGTGGTAGCTGCGATCAGACAATCCTCACCAAACAGATCAGCAAAAGGGTGAGTTTTCCATGTTGGAACTGGATTAATGTACCAAATTAACATGGTACTTCTTCCAGAATGAACGAATTCGCTCATTCTATGCCATCCTCCCATAAAGAGTAAAATGACAATCTGGAAGGAGTCCATATAAAATATTTTGCATCTAATTCCACCACTTTCAACGAAACAGAGTCCTTGAAAAATGAGGAACCACATGGGATGTGCTGGGTTTCTTGCCATATATATTTTCTTGAAATCAACGTTAATATGCGCAGTTTTTAGTATATGTCACAAGTATGAATAATGAAGTCGAACCGCCAAAGAAAACCAACAGCATCCCTCAATGGCAGCAACGATTCCACTGGACGAGCTGGAAATGTGCTGGTTTAATGGCCGTTTCAAATAAAGTCTTCGAAAAAGTTATGGTTTTCATGAAATCTCAATGATCTCAGTAAAGACCAAACAATGTTTGAGAATGAACATGTGCGTCTTTATTTACAAAAATGAAAAAGATCAGTAATTTTATACTAATTACAAAAAGAAAAATCCCAAGCAGAATGCAGGCGAACTCCATCCTATTGTAAAGCAACAACAATATCCCCAACTTCTTTCTTGGAGTAAGAATAACCGAGAGTTAAAGCAAGAAAAAGCTAAAAGGTCAATAGAGTTCGTACTCCCACAGTACAAGGAAAGAGCGAGACCTTGTATACGGATGTGACCGCACTTCACATTTGTCATGTAGATGCTTCGATAAGATAAATATATAGGAATGTAGAAAAAAATATATGCTCTTCCTTTCTCTAGAGACATGGACAGCCCTTTCGGATGACTAAGTTCCGATGTTCGCATTTTCCTCATGGCCACGCTTATTATTTCACCAAAATAGCCGGAAATCGTGGTGAGAACTTTCAAAGAAGCCGACAGGTTGTCACCATGACGGTGACTCGATTGTGCAAATGAGTGGTACTTCAGATAAAAGTCCCCTAAGATAACTTATTTTCTTTTTTCTTCAATTTGCTTGGGGAGTGTAATTTGTAACACTTGTTGATGCACAGTGCTGTACACGGCTTATTCATCTGATTTCCGAACTGGGTTTGGTAATCGATTAATGGGGCGAGGTTGGCAACCTTACAGAGAAGAATCATGCAATATTGAGTCAACATCCCTTACAAAAAGATGCTATTGGAACCTATTAGATTTTTTAAACATAAAAATCTTATAGGATTCTGATAGGAATTCTATAGGGTTCTTACAGGATCCCGTATGACTGAATCTTATAAGATTGAATATTATAAGATTTTTGTTCCAAATATGTTATAGGATCCAAGGGGATCTTACAGGATTTTTCCAAAAGGGATTGCGGATAAAGTTTTCGAATGTGCACCTAAATTGCGAAGTAATAATATGTTCAGTACATCTCCAGCAATGTGCTGACATCTAAAGCGCAGACAGAATGTCATTCGATTACAGAAAATGTTGTTAGAGAAGATTGCGACATTATCCTGCGACGGACCCGAAATGTTCCCAGCTTAGAGATCGCACTTCTCCTTTGAATATCCAAGATCCTTGCTCGACCTTGGCGATCATGACCTAGCTGAACAGATGAAATGACTCCAGCCGCCGCGTATTGCGGATGGTGTTGATTCGGTGTGGTAGGTGCCACGCGTCCAATGGCGGTCGCGAGAGCGATGGGGAACGAGAGCGCCTCCGATATTTTCCATTCTGGGAATGTGTACAGTACTTGAGATGAGCCAGGGCCCTTAACATATGCCAGGGCCGATAACCAAGGCACGGCATGACTCAAACGGTGGCGATACCGTCATCATTTCATCAGGTTCTGATATCGCATATATATTTAGTAAATATATATGCGATATCAGTAAATTTGACAGCTTTGGCTTTCCGTACGAAGGTGCATGTATGTATATATGTATATAAGAAGTGCATGTATAGCTGAAGCACCTCATTGAATTTCATTCGCTTCAAGAACATGAACACGGGACTGAAATCCGTCTTCCTTCGAAAAAGACGTCTGGTGCCGACCATGTATTGGTTTCTATTTGGCCTTCTACCCTCCTGTTCATGCTATTAATGCTATTATTTTCACCATGAAGAGAGAACTTTGCCGTGTCAATCAGGAATGACCGGTATTTGTGCTTGGTCTCCCGGAAGTGAAAAGTAGAAAGAGCCGAAATGCCTTTTTTCTTTGTGCATATCCGAAAGCGTATTTTTGCAATTAATGTAACCCCTTCTTTGAATTGGATTTCCTTTCTCTCAGTCCTATGCTGAAGAATATACTATCTTATTATATTAAACGTATGTGTGAAGCCAAACATGCACTCGCACACACATACATGAACAAGTTCATAATTATAATAACTTGATAATTATAGTTACTATGGCAGTTAATAAATAATGAAAACTTCCAATAAAGAAAGTCCCTCGACGAGCTTGACGCCACAGCACAGGTACTGATTATAATATATGACTTGTTATTGTTAATTATGCTAGCAGTAAGACAAGCAATCCTCTTACGGCTTGTCTACACGGAAATTATTCTCACGTAACTATGAAATACGATTGATAAAAGTTCCTATCTCGATTTCAAATTCGAAGAAGGATGTCAGTTTTAAGAGGTTGCAGGGGAAGCAATTAACTTCACTCTCACCGCTTCCTCGCTCTGGTTTACGTTTGTGCGCAAGTTATTAATTTTAGCGCTTGATGTGCCAACAATCGCATAACATGGCTGAATTTATTGTCTTCGGAGGAAAAAGGGATGGCCGGTTTTGCATTTCAAATAAGTCGTCCAATGAGATGTCCAATCAATAAATATCGATAAATCATCGATAATCGATAGTAAAACTTTTTCCAACTGTGTTTGAGCTTGGATACTGTGTTTGAGCTTGACTCATCACCTTGCCCTTGAATGTGTTGTGACTAAGGAGTGGATTTTTAAGAAAATGCATATTTTTTCTGGACCCACCTAGGAGCATGCAACCCAGGTAGGATCATTCCTTATTGGCAGAGGAAGCGATTTCTGCCATTGTAAAAACCATTGTCCAAGGACATCTTTCAGAGAAGGATCTGTAGGACTCTATCCTCTCAGATGCCGAGAAATCTGCTGGGAGATCGATTCCTTTGATGTTGGAAAATTAATCACGGCATTCGTCTCAATTTTCATACCTCTTCAGCAGACCCTCAGGTAGCAAATGCAAAAATATTAATCGAAGTTATACTTGATTGGCGAATGAGACGAAATGTTGTCAATCACCATCAAGTCCATCAATCTTCTCATGGGAAGAGTAAAAATTGTGTATGCAACTCGAAGCGCATCGAGCTTAGAACTTTTTGAATCCCTCTGGTACATAGTCTTCGAGCTTAAATAAAAAGAATGCGTAAATTTGCCATTTTTAAATTATACGTTTTACCGCCTGTGACTCTACCACTCCAAAAGTCGCCAAATCGACCGCCTGCGGACTTTGGAAATAGCGTCCTTTGAGTGGCTTCTATTGTTCTGCAAAGGCATTTATCGCTCGTTGGCAAATACGCTCGTACAGAACTTGTGACAGCACCACTACCCAGATAGGTCAGGGCATTCGAGACCTGTCTATAGGAATGTGGTATCGCTTCGGCATGCTGTAGAAGAAAAATGATCTGGAAGCCATTCCAGGATTAGAATGGTCTCTTTCTTTTTGGAAAATCGTCGCCATTCGCTCCTGATGCTGTTTTCCATCTTATTGGCTGAGTCCTGTCAGCCTGCTTCCATTGCATAGACTGCCGTTTCGTTTCAGGGAGGTGGGAATATAAATGAGGTCTACAGTGAATGCGAAGACGTCTGAAGAAGGCATCTAAACAATTGTTTTCAGGGTGAAATAATTTGCAATTGTCTTTACCCAATCTGGATTCTACTGATTTTTCACGAGGAACGGAGGGAGTGGTATGTTCGAGATTGCTTCTTATGCTCTGACACAAGCATTTTGATGCGTCTGGACTCGCGTACTGTAGCTTTCTTGCACAATATAGGTCGAAATGTGTCGCACGACAAAGGAAATGGTTTGGCATAAGGGAATATGACAAAGTGAAACTGATATATGAAGTAATATATAGGGTAAACAGACATAATTCTAGGATATACCTAATTCTGTGATAGTCGCACCTATAGCCATTCACAGAGAGTTATAGTTTATGTAATGCCATGATTCCCCGTTATATGGCAGCACTATGCATCTATTCATGAGGTATCTATTAATGAAAACTAAATTTATGTCAGTATGCATCACTTAAGCATAGTTTCATTTCTCCAAAGTCTTAGTATCACAGAATTGGGCAGGCTTACCTTATAGACGATTGTGAGTAACTAAATGAGTTACTGATGCTAATTCTAACCATGTTCTAGAAATGATGAGAGAATGAAACCTGGTACGCGAATTTAAACCTGGTACAGCTGATTTGTGATAGCAGGAAACCCCCAGCTTTGGAGGTAAATACCCTAGGGGGCACATTTCGGGAAGGGGAGGGGACTGATTTCATAGGCATAGGCCGAACTCACGGATAGACGCTTAGTCTATCTGAAGCTTAGTCTAATACCACTCTACTAAACTTTCTTCCTTCAAGGAAGTGGGAAGAGAAACAAATAACAGTTGGATGATGCACCACGAATGGAAGTTAAAATTTCATTTGACGCGCTCTGATCGGACTGCTTTAGCAGGCCTATATTCAACCCTCGGACTGACATTCATGCCAATCTGACCAAGAGTCTTGTTGCCTTGGCCTAAGGCTCGAGGCCTTTTGACCTTTGCTTTTCTAGGTTGTAGGCTTGGTTGAAGAGCATGGATTGATGTGGACCGGTACGCTTGCGGATGGGAATGGGTAGGAAGGTTTTCCATAGACATTACGATTTAGTGTGGCTATACCCAATCCACTTACAGACGCTTCGGCCCTTTCATTTCTATTCACACACTTCCTTTAACGAAACATAATACTGAATGATGGGGGCTGCATTTACGGAATCACGTATTTTCTCATGGACATATGTATGTAACCTCAGAAAGAGTTTGGAATGGGGACTATATTGAAGTTATTGTGTCCAAATATAGATATGAAAATAAATGCCAAAACTACGCATACACTCAACATAGTCTATAAAGCATTATTGCGTTAGAACGCTGAACTGATGAGCCAAATGTCTCTCCTACTACAAATGATTTATGAGAGATTAATGAGATTTATATGCAAAGAAGAGTGTATGTACCATAGACAGCAGTCAAATTCACCAAACGCTTAAAGACGCATTGAATTTTTACCCAGCGATCTTTATGCCGGAATATATACGTCGTCACTGAATATTTTATGAATAAAATTATTTTTAAAGTATGAGCAACGAAGGAGCAAATGTTTCTAAGTCCATTGACTTATAAGTTTAGCCGGACCATTACATGTGAGCCTCGACAAATAATGCTTTAAATGCATTTTTAATTTCGTTAGATCATAGAGTGCCGAAGGCTCGTCCATAGCGAGTTTGTTTCCCAAAGGGTAAATAAACTCGCTGGAGGGGAAAGAAACACTTGAGTTGAT